AGATATTTAACTGTCTTCATAGGCAGCTCTATATTCACCGCTATTGATATTGCGCTCATGATATTGTTCCAAAGCTAATTAAATTTACATCTTATTTTTTCCCCATCATTGTCCGTTTCATATCCTAGTTGTATTTCATGATTGAATTCATCGATTAATTGTTGAAAGTCACATGCCTCTATTTCTCTGTCAAATGTTTCGGTAAAATTCTCCCATTGTAAATTAGTAATTTTACTGATGTCCACTATGCGATTGTTCTGATGTCTATCAACTAAATTCACATCCCGTGTCTGATCTGGGACACAAAGCCGGAAGTTGTTCTTAATAAATCCTGATATATTTACCGTTGTTGAAATAATACTATGATGGCTATTTGTGATCATCTGTGATGAGTGCACTGAGAATTCTACTGGAATAACATCGGCCTCATGTGTGATCCAAATTTAATCGATTATTGATCTAGATATAAGGCTTGATTTATCCTTATTTTTATCCCATTTCTCATGTGTAAATAGCTCTGTATCCGGATAAAGAGCTCGGCAAACATCATAAAGTCCCAGTTGCGCTAACTGTATCAGAAATTGTGATTCTGGTTGTTCAGTACTAGGCGAGCGATCTATTTTATTGTCAATTGTGTCGTTAAAATCGCCTAATACAACGTGTAGTACTACGGTGTTGTGAATTGATCGGTTATGTCCCTCTATAGCTATTTTCAATTCATCAATCAAGCTTTTCCTCATGTCTTGATTGTTAGGAGCGGCATATATCAACCAGATCCATATCTCTCTCTGTATGAATAAGAATTTAACTATTATGATATATAGAGATATGCGTTCTACTGCATAGTAATGTTTCATCCATCTGTTATGGATCACAAGTGCCGTTCCTGATCCTTTGGTTTTTTGATCTCGTTCACTGAATATTATAGAGTAAACCTTTGACTAAATGTCTTGGTTTATAAAGTATTCCTGACAATAGTCTATATTAGTTTCTGATATAGCCATAATATCGATGTTCTTTTCTTCGATAAATTCCAACAAACTGTGAAGTTTTTGTATAGACGGAGTACTAGCTATTCCATCTATATTATGTGCTACTATGTGCAAATCTAAATACATTGAATCATTCGTTTCTTGATTATTTAGATTCCCCTTAGTAAACCTTAACCTCTGTCTTGCTAAGAATAAGTTAACGTTTTCTTCATTTGTCAAAGATTCGACTATTTCCTCTAAATTGTCTGGATCTTTTTGGCAATCTCCTTTTTCATACACTAATTCAGTTGTTTCTGGGTGTGTATTTCCTGTATTTATTCTGCCATTCGTCTTATGTTTGTTATGTGTTTGTTGTGATTGCTCATTACTCGTGTGTTGTATAGAGGACGACGCGTTGTTGTTTTGATTGTTTTTGAGAAGAATGCTTGGAACTTGGCATTGTTCTCTACCTTTCAGCCTTCTCCGTGTGTAACTCTATTGTTTATTATCTTGTGTAACCTTCGCTTTTTTTTTTATTTAGGCCAGCTAAAGAAAAAGTATTCAAAACCATCTTTTAATAAAATAATTGAATTGATTTTTTTTTTAAAAAAAATATATAATTAATTAAGTTAATAAAAATTATAATTTATTAAAAATTAAATATGAAAAATAATTATATTTAATTAAAACTTTTTTAATATTTATTAGAGCTAAAAATTAGAATTAAAGTTAATTAGAATTATATTAGGATTAAGTTGAAAAGTTAGATTTATTTATCACAATGTATCATTTCTAAAGTTCTAATTAATCTGATTCTAATTTGGCTAAAGTTGCTTGCTAAAATTAGGTAATTTAAGCCAAGGCCAAAACTTTTTTGTAGCCAAAAGTTTAGGCAATCAAAAATAAATTTGCTGAAAATTTATAATGCCGAAATTATTGCCAAAAGTCCAAAATTTGACCAAAATTATTGGTATAATTCTGGCCATTTTTAGGACGTAATTCTGGCCAGAAAATGATCGACATTGTAAATTTCTTTTTTTGGAAATTTGTGTAACCTTTGTGAAACTGATTTCATCAATTTTACTGGGAAACAAAATTTCTTTTTTTTGGAAATTGGTATAACGTCACATGACACAATATCATAATTTCAGCCGAATTTTAATTTTAGCCAAAATTAAGACTGAGTTTCAGCCTAATTTTGGCATTTTCAGCATTTGATTTGATTGGCCAAAACCTTTCAGAATTTCCTTTTTAATTTTGGCAGGCAACCTTAAATTTGGCAATCCAAACTGAAAATTAGGATTGATCCAGTCTGGGTTAATGCTTCAATCCAGACCAAAATATTCAGTTTGGTCTGGTTTAGTTCTGGATTATAAGTCTAATTCAGATTAAATTAAAGGGTTGGAATTGAACTGGACTAAGTAATTGTTTTTATTGTGATTGTTTAATTATTAAATAAAAAAATGGTGCAAAATATTTTTTTTAATATAGTATTATTATAAAAAAAATATTGCAAAATGTTTTTTTTAATATATTATTATAAAAAAAATGTTTTGCAACATTTCTATAATTAATTTAATGAAAAAATATTGCAAATATTTTTTTAAAGTAATTTTAATTAAAAAAATGTTGTGAAATATTTTTTCAAAGTATAATTAAAAAATGTTTTGCAATATTATTTTAATTAATTTAACAAAAAAATGTTGTGAAATATTTTTCAAAGTAATTATAATTAAAAATATTTTCACAATATTTTTTATTTTAGGACCAGGCCAGACTGAATTAAATAACTGCTGGATTATCTTTTAACATAATCTAGATCAGATTAAAATGAAGCAATTTTTTTGGTCTGATCCTGAATTACTCTTTAATTTGAACCAATCCGGACTATTTAGGAGATGGCCAGAAATGACGTAATTTAAATTTTAGGATTTTTGCCCCCTCCCTATATATGGTGCATATCACATAAACTCATCAAATAAAATTAGTGATTTTAAAAAGCTAACTACTTGTTAAAATTATATGATAATTAAAAATGTAAACCGATAAAATTACACTTTGAGTTCTTCTCTTTCAAATTATCGGATTACTTTTCCTTTATCTAACATATTTCAAAAGTTATTAAAGTTTAAAGTTAGCATATTTTTATATATCTCTATATTAACTTATATATAAATGAGAAAATTTCGGAATTATTCT